AAACTATGTTTTATCTTCTGTAGTGGCAAAGTATAACAAAACCACTGGTAATAATAGTTTTAGGTTTTCATTTCAAGACTGTCTTTAAAAGTAGCATAACAACTCACTGAGAAATTAATGAGGTTCATCAGTACCTAAGCTTTAATATAATTTTGTAAAACGGTATGTGATCCTGCTGTTAAAATACTTATGGTCTAACTCTTAGTATGGCAGTTTTAATTAAAACATTAGAAGTAGTAAACTTTCACATTACTACTAAGCCCACTCATATAATCAGAGTTTTAGCTTTGCACTTGTTGAAATCAAGGTCTGGGCCCAAGTAGTGTTACACTGCTCTTTGTGTGTTTTATGTCCTCAAATTGAATGTAGTCTTTAAAGGGTATTTTTTTATGGGAATTAAGATTTTTTTTTTTCTAAAAGTTAAGGTTCTTTTTTTGAAGACCTAATCTAGTTCATTCTTTAGGAAAAGCTATTCAGTCACTTTAAAAATGCTCGGTAAAGGCGAGGCTTAAAATCTACTGGAAACTATCAGTAAGAACCTTAAATGATGCAAGAGAACTATATCTTTTTATTTTTTTTTGTTCATAATGAATTGTTGGGCAGGATGTGGTTTGGGTTATTTGGTTTTTTTCTTACATCCTTCTCATGAGAATAAAACTTTGCTGTCAGGAACAGGAGGCCCACTTTTAAGAAATGCTACTTTATAGATGTGATTTTTTTAAAAAAAAACCTTGTAGACTGGCTTATCAATAAAATTGTGTGCCTGTGACCTTTTTAAGATAATTTTAACCTCTGGTTAAGGTGATCTTTTCTATTCTGCAGGTGAGCTAGGAGGATGAAATAGGGAGGTGCTGGTAGATCACATTCTTTACAATGTAATATATTAGCAGAGTTGGCACAAAATAACTCAGATATTCTGAGAAGGGAAGATATTAAATAGAGAAATTGTCCAATGTAGTCTTATACCTATAGGTAGGTTTCATGTTAACTGTCAAGTGTATTTGGATGACAGGGCAGATACTTGCACTGCCACTCCTGCACTGTAGGGCTTTTTCCAGTTGTCAGAGCCTAATGCACCTCAAATTGCCAAGGTTTAAAAAATGAAACATCTTTATTTTTAAAGAAATACATCTTGATTCCAGTTTAACTCTATTCCTTTCTGAGGGATTTAAAATTATATCTCTGGTACTGACGCTAGATTAACATCACTTCCATTTCTATATAATGTACTTAACTAAAACCTGTGCTTGAATTAGTTCACTGTGTAGTCAGCGGAGCCTCTGAATCTCCTTCTGTAGGAGAGTGACTACAGCTCAGCCTGTAATGCACAGGTGGGGATCTTTTTACCACCTGGACAAGGAAAGTATGGCATAAACCATGCGCCTTCCTAATTGCATTTATGAAGTATGAGTGTGCTGAAGCAGCAACATGTAATTCATAATAGTGTAGATGAAACAGGTTTTTTCTGTTCCCACTTTTTGTGGTCAGGTAATGTTGTGCTATAAAAATTATTAGGTTAATTCTTACTTTTCTTAACAGGAAAGGAAGACACTCCATCATTGCTTGGTCTCTGTGGCTCTCTTACTTCAGTAGCAAGCTACAAATCACTCACAAGTCTGAAATCAAGTGAATATCTTGCAAGTCCTACAACAGAGATGACAAGTCCAGGCTTAACACCATCTTGAGATATACACAAGAAGGAAGAGCTTTGTGTTGTATGCATTTGTCTTATGTTCCATAAAATGACTTACAATGAAGACTGCTAATTCTAAATTAAAAAATAAGCTGTTTGGTTTTTTTTTTTTTTTTTTTAATGGTTACCTGTTTAATTCACAAATTCTGTCAGTTTTCATTTGAACTTTTTTTTCTCCAGAGGACTCTTCAGATTTTCTATTTTAGTCCTGAATTATTTAAAGCTCTTTGTCAGGTACAGGACATATAATCTGATGCTTATGACTGATTTTAAAATGAAACAGTTGGAAATCAGTCCCCTACTTAACTGCCATGACCTTTGTTTCTCCTTGCAATGGCCTGGCCCTATTCTAGCCACGGTGCTTCTCTGCAGTGCTTTAAATATCTACAACTCTTGCAGAACAGAGGGAATCCTTAACGCCACTCTTTGTAGGCAAATAAATATTTTACCTAAAACCCCAGCTTTTCATCGATGTATGTTGCATAGGACCTCAAATACCATATTTAACCAAGCAACAGCTCTTCTCAAGCTGATTCAGTGTTAGATTTTGCATTCCTGTTAGTATCATGGCACTTAGGAGATGTCTGAGTTGCACTGAAGAATCACACTGAAACACTCTTATTATTATTCTTGAAGTTGCATGTGAATAACAAATGTAGGTTGATCATCTAAATCAAGCATACTTAGCAATTTGTAAATGTTGAGGGAACTCACTGAATGCTTTTTAGTGACCTGAGTTACAGATAATCAAACATTATACAAGAAATTTCTTGATTTATTGGCCTTGCTGGAAAGATGGGGACTAAGGATGGTGGGGTTAGCACTTTGGAAAGTTTGGATGGTGTGTTTACTGGCAAGATCCCAAGGAGATTGAAAAAGGGGAAACAAAGACAATGTGATGACAGTATTCTCATGTTAAAAATTTTTCTCATTCCTGTAGTAGTGCAATAGGTATTTTTCTTGATTAGGTAACACGGCAGAACTTAAATCAGTTTTCTCAAATTACTTGCCATTGATTTAAATTACTGATAGGAAAAAGAAAAAAGGGAGAAATTTTTTAAATGAAACTAACTTTCCAGATTACCCTACAGTTTCCAAGTTTGCAAATTCATTTTTGAATTGCAAACTGTATTCTTAATTCTTTGTAAGATACAATGGATCCTTTATCTATGAATTTTGCTAATCAAGGTAGTGCTTATCAGTATGATTAGTAACTTTTTAAACAAAACTTAAATGCATGTAAGTACGTTGTATTTATAAGTACTAGGGAAAATGCTTTTTTGTGCCAAAGAAGTTTCATAAATTGTTTACATGAGTAGCTGCAATACAAGACAGATTTTAAATTATTGCTTACTCTTAGGTGTTTACAGTATGTCACTACACTCTGTACAGTTTTAGTTGATTTGCCTCTTGTAATGGTACCTTGGCACTACTACTACAATCTGGTCATTTTAGGATGGGCTTGAAAGAAAGAGGGTTAATTCTTACTTTACTAAAAACTACAGTAAATGTTTAGCCTTTGTAAGCATGAGGCTACACATCTCTGGAACTCAAGGCACTGTTGGATTTAGCTGGAGGAGGTTCAGGATACATCTCCTCAACTCTCCAGTCCACAGTGCTGGAGGTCATTGCATCCATGGCAGGGTAAACAACTGATGCCATTTTAATGCAGATTTTTAAAGCAGCTTAGCAAAATCCACCAGACCTTGTCTTTCAAGCCCTCATGTACCCACCCAGTTAATTTCTCTGTAATAAACTCTGACCATTAAATCCTTTCATCCACTGTCAGAATGTCCATTACTTCATGTAATTGTTTTCTTTTTTTGTTATCACATTAAGCACCTGTCCTCTCATGGCAGTTGAGTAACATTATTAAATACTAATTTGTAAACTATAGATGCGGTTTTTACTACAAACACAGTGAGGGAATCCAGATTCCACAGGTTAATATTCTACATCACGGTGCAGTGATTCAATTGGTCTTGCTTGCCGTTAAACACCTCTACATCCCGCTACATCAGTATTTCAGAAGGGGCTATAATCATGATCTTCAGTCATGTTCGCTGATGGCTCTTTTCTTGGAGCTACTGCTGTGAAATTCATGTGTCATTTAACTGAAGTCTTTTATGTAGTCTGACACCACTGTGAGTTTCTGGGTGTCATCTTGTGCATGGGAAGTCAGTTATGTGTGTCTTTCTCAGTTCTAAAGATTAATAATTTTTCCAAAAAATTGCCAAAACTGTATGTTTTGTTGCCTTGACGTTCCATAAATGTTGCGTGTAAATTAAACATTTTGTATCATCGCCAATTACTAGTTTTTGTCTCTTTTAATCATGCAGGATAAAAAAAAAGACCATTTGGCAAATTACAGTATTACTGAGCTTATAGCAAATTATTTTCTTGCAAAACAGGGAGACTGGTTTTGTTGCTGTCTTTCATTTAATGTAGTCCAAAATCTGCTGTTACTACTTACTTCCTCTTTGGCCTTATGAGTTGTTGTGTAAAATTTACTTTGAAAATCACAATGGGGGAACACTGTCAGGTATCTCCTTTGGCAGTACCTTTTGCTTGCACCATATGCTCTAACTTTGTACCTAACACCTTTACAACTAGAGCGTTTTTCAGTGTGTGGTGAATTTTCACCAAGGCCAAACAAATGCTGGGATACAATCTTCACAGTAGTCTATTTCTTGGGTAAAGCACACCTGAAAGTTGGTGTCCTAATGACCTGACTGCTCAGCTGCTTTTGTAACAGCACACCCCTTCATTAAAATACACAAAAAATAAAATTCAACCATTTTTCTGACAACACATGGAAGAAAGGATATAGTGAGGGTAGTTAACAGTAATTTCAATTTAAAAAATCATACAGACGAAGCTCTGATTCAGTAAGTCAAGTGCCTGTGGGCAAGGCAGATGCTGCAGCTGTTCCTATGATGTGTGTGCAGCACAGGGTAGAAGTCAGTGGCTGTGTCTGTAGTAGTAACCTAAGCGTGCTCTTCTCTTGGGCTGGATGCATGGCTGAGTCAAAAAACAGGCAAGGGAGCATTCCTCCAGAACACCCATACAGCGAGTGCGCTTTAATTTCTTAGAGCGTTACCTTAAACTAAAAAGCCACTGCAGCACCTATCAGTATATTCACCATGCTCTCTGGGTTTCTAATGAGCACCATGTACTTCTTCCAGTTTGACCAAAAGCATTTTTCATTTTAAATAAAACTGAGAATAAGCCAAAGACTATTTTATAATATGCATTTACACAAAATAAAGAGCTGCAGATAGCAAACATGCAGTGAATCAAACAAGTATTAAGCAAGAATAAATAAGCATTTATTGAAATTAATTCTGTACCAACCTCCTTATGGAGGAATAATCATACCATGCAATTGGAAGCCTAAAACATTTTCTAAACATCATTTTAACTACCCCAAAAAATGTTTAGTCAGATTGAAAATTAACACAGTGGCAGGTAGCTATGTTGCTCTGTCCAACCTCAATTTTTTTCTCCTTTTAATCATCACCGAAGAACAGTCAGCACCTTGGGTTTGTTTGTTGTTTTTTTTTTTTTTTTTCTCCTTTTTTTCTTTTTTCTCTCTATCTACAAGAAAATTCACAAAGTCTTCAATGATAGTTTAAGGGTCACTTCTTAGTCTTAAGAAAAAAATGAATTTGTCCTTTGTGAAACAGTTAAAAATTAAGTTGTATTTAGTTACCAAATGTAATGGCAGAAATTCACTGGAAATTCTAGGAAATGCCTTGATAGATTAAAAGTTGGCACAACTTCCACCATATATTTTGACTTCATACAATCCGATGAAGGAGAATTAAGAACGTTGGTTCATTTTTTCATTTAATTGAGAAAAGAAAGACTTTCCATATTCATATGTGCTGATCATTATGGCACAAGCAGGAGCAACAAACTTTAAACAGCTGTGGAGTGATACCTGCCCAGAAGAGAAAGGAAAGTATTCACTGTCATTTGTTTTCAGACTGAAGTGCTGTAGTACCATTTAGTGGTCAATTATTGATGCCATAGTATATCGGTGTAGAACTGGGACTCTACCTGTCTAAAATACTGAAATCACTGGCTGTAGGTATTACCACTGTAATAACCTTATGTGCTCACCTGTGCCATCTCGTGTGGCCTGCCTCAAGGCCCTTGTGTCTCTCTGGGGAAGTGGAGCACCTTGACCTGCAGGCCTACTTTGCTCCAGCAGAGAAGAGGTGGCCCTGGGGGCAGATTGCGTGCCGTGCCCTCCCCTAACTGTCAGTGCAGACTTGCTGCTCCTGAGGCTTGTGACCTCTCACAAGAGGTTCGGGAAGCCCTAAATCCTGAAATGGAGAAAGTCAGGGAGGAAAGGGCTCGAGTACCGTGCTGGTAGGTAGGTGTCTCAGCCCTTCAAGCTAACTGCTAAGTAAAAAGTGTGATTCCCCTGCCACTGTCTCCTAAGACCTACAGCACCTTTACTAAAATGGAAGGATCCTGGTCACATGTATAAACAATAGAATTTAGGTGTTAAATGTCTTCCATTCCAATCAACTGTGATCTTGTCAGCGGAGTTTAGAAAGTGATTCAGTTTACTTAGAGGTAGGAAAATAAGGCTGAATCCACTTGTCTACACACAGCCATCTACTTCTACTTGAAATGCAAAGGCATCAGCATGGAGCTAGCACAGATGGCATATGAGCTATGGAAAACTTGTGTCCCTTTGGAACAGTAGGAAGAAGCCAGACAGAGCACACCCAGTCATCTCACCGACCTGTGGGCGACTGAACCAAAATAGTGGCTGATCAAGAGAATGTCTCTACACTCCGTTACTCACGTGTCAAGACCTCAATGTAGGTATCCTAATCTATGAACTAAATTCCACCCAAATGTCTAATAACATGGATACTTTGTGGTGGCTTGCATTCTGCTGGCATCAGTGCTCTGAAATATGCAAATCCTGTTACCCAGGTATGTCATCACCGTACAGCAAGCAAAGCACTTTAATCTCTTTCAGCAAACACAAGTCTTGCAAGTCTCCAACAAACTGTGTACCCAGTCACACAAGGAACCCTGATGAACTGATGCAGTGCTGTCAAGACTGGTAAGTATCCTGGCTTTGGACTGTCTTTTGCAGTTGTTCATTTAAATATGAACAACTATAGGCTTTTATCTCAGTATCATTTTCATGTCAATATCTGGTTTCCTCCTTAGGCTGCTGGAGTCACACACGACAACATGTGTGCATTACAAAGGCCTTCTGTGCCCCAGCCATTCCACAGAAAAGGACGAGAGCAGCCTCACCCATCAGGTAGGCTTGTTGAAGACAGAAAGCCATGGGAATCTCTTCCCTGACAGGCTGGGAGAAGGGCATGGGGGGAGCTGAACGACAAGTACCAGGGCAGTAAGAAAGCTTGGGGAGTTGAGCATCCTGAGGTGGACAAGCAGGAAGTTAAGAGCACTTTGTGACTATGAGCATTTTATATTCATTCAAGGTTGAGTTGCCAATCTCCAGTTGTCATACACAGAAAGTAAGATATTCAGAAGCCAAACACTTTAAAACCAGTTCAGTTAAGCAGTGATACTGTTTTAGACTGGTGATACTTGGTCTAGTAAATTATTGATAGAACTACCTGAATGTACGTATTGAACAAAGGCAAAGTTTCACCCCCAGGCAAAGATTTGCTTTTGTTTAATGAATGATAGTAATTCTTCACAAAAAGATACGAACCAGTAATTAGAATTCTTGAGGATATGTAATCAGCTTGAACATTCACACTGTGAATAGCCATCTGCACTGTCATGTGAGGCTGGAAACTCTTATTCTCTCAGCTCCTGTCACCTGTGGTAGCAATCCCAGACTGCCTTTGTCCATAGTTGGGTACACAGAGTGGGAAATGCCTAGCACCACCTGAGTTTTCTCTTAATTCTCACTTGGCCACAATACAGGAAAGGGAGAGAAGGTAGATAGTGAGTGCATGGGTGGATGGCAGGTCTCAAAGAACTCCATTAACTGATAATCACAGCACAGCACTCCCAAAATGTAACACAGTAACCTCCATATTCTTATTTACTTGGACATGAATTGTGGACTAAGTAGTGTGAGGCAAAACTTAAAAGCACTCGCCATGAAATGCAGTTATTTGAATGGGGGAAGAACGTTTAGCTATAGGTAGGTTGGAGAAACTAGGAGCCTCATATCAAGCCATCATCCAGGAAAAAATACTCCATTTGATATGGGCTGAAATTATGGCAGACATCTTGCTAAACACTCTGATGTTTATTAAGACAAACTCGATAATGGTGATGAACTACAGTGAAGCACAAGTATTTTGGAAGGTAAGATATAAAATACTACTTTCTGTAAGGTACAGAAATAAAAATCTAGAAGAGCCAAAGGAACATAACAGTGCCTTTCTCAGGTGGCTCTGTAGCCACCATACTACTGCTCTTAAACCCATGGGTAAAAGTTTTCAGCCTCCTCCATTCAAATTGGGGCCCAGCACCCCCATTCCTCTATGAAATAATGAGGCATAGACAAATATACTGTAAAAATGCCTTCCATTCAGAACAGAAGCATTTCCATTTGAAGTAGACTCACAGAGAAAGAAGAAATAATGTATTGAGAGATTGAAGAGAGACAAATTATATGACATAGAGTTCTTTGTGCCTCAAGAACTCAAGATACCTGCTGTGATGCTTAGTAAGTTGTAGGGATCTATTCCAATATCAAAGAGAAAGAAATTAGAAGAGAAAGAAGGAATTGCAGCCATCAGAGGAATAACAGGCACCTTCCAATGGCATCTTCAGGATTGCTGACAATGTTCATAGCTCCAAAGAAGAGATGTTAACAGCTGTAGTCTGATACTGTTACTGCTCTAGACAGAAGTTTGAGAATAGTCTGGTCTAAGGCTCTGCTTTGCCACAGAGCTGCAATGTTGTGTTTCTTGAGGGACAGTAGATACAATACCAAATTATCTAATCATTGTACAAAAATCTTTAAAAAGTGAAGACTCTACTATTTATTTCACCAACATTCTTACAGAAAAGCAAAATTTTTACTAAAACCAGAATTCCTCAGGCATGCTAAGCTTTACAGCCAAGAAGACCTTCCCATTAGGATGGCAATGCTTGTTCCCACTCCATCTCACAGGTTGTTCTAAAAACTACTTGGGCCCACAGCAGTTCACCACAAAGTTATCCCAGAGTAGACAGACAATCATTCTAGTTATTGAAGATCCTGTGCCTGCGGGGTGAAGAGTATCTGGTAGTTGCAGAGAGGAAATTAGGGTGAGGAGAGCAGCATATAGCTAAACGATCAAAGCACTTTTGGTTTTAGTTACCAGATTGGCAACTAGAAACACAAGTTGCCTTCTATAACTACTTAGGACACAATGGATAGGAATGCAAGAACTCCAATTTCTGCAAAACCCAGTCTTTTCCTTCCTGTTTTGCTTGACAGAGCATGCCAACTGGAAACCTCAGACAGAATTCTAGCAGGATCTATGGTAGCTGCTGCTAAATATCTACAAATCTGTGAAAAAAATTTCCATGCCATTCTTCAAGAGAATATTCTGGGATGTGGATAAATCCACCATGAATTACTGGAAGGACTGGTGATTATCTCAGAAGGGAATCAATCGTTTTTGGTAACTATGGAATTGGAAAATTCCCTGAAAGATCTTAAGAAATAGAAGAAATCCTCAGTTTCAGGATGGGTAAACAGTGAGGGACTTCTGTGCCAATGCTAGAATGTCATTTTTCTTGTCTCATGTCACACTTATCAGCTCACAAAGTCCCTGTTCTGGGCAGGGCAGTTTGGTTATGCAGTGAAAAGACACTCATAAGTCTCATGAGGTCTCAGAAGCCTCTCTGGTCATTCCTTGATGCCAGAAATTGAGTCATAATGATGAAAATAAGGGGGAATAATACTTCCTGTTGGACCTCTCAGGAAAGTGGCCGGCTTTGTTGCAGGAGGTTTTGAGTTAGTACCAAGAATTAGGTCATGCAATTAAGTAGGGCTCAACGGTTTCAGAGAGTTGCCAGGATTTGAAAAAGACACCAGACGGTATTCCTGGGGCTTTATTTTCTGCTCTATAAACATGCAGGGTTTAAAAGGCCAAGATACCTTATGATGGTTAGGGATACATCTGTGCTGGTCAGCAGTAGAAATAACTACTGCACATAGTTCAGGTCTAAAAAGTGATCATTACCAAAGACAGTAAAAGACAGTCTTTAAGACAGTCCATGCAAGAAGGAAAACAAAATACAGCAAGGAATTACACAGCTAAATGGGGTCTTAACTGCGTCATTCTGTCTTACTGAATGGCTCAGAGGAACTGAAACACCACCAGGTGCATACTAAACTATGTACTGATGTGCTGAACACTGCACACAGCTCAGCAGCAATGGGCCCTTGATAGGTTCAGTGAGGGTAAGGAAGTCATGTAAGATGTGTACACACATGAGATAACGTACAAGTAAAATTTAAAAATGCTTTGACTCATTCAGAACTCACTAAATTGTAAAGACTGTGTTTCTCCATCTGTTTAAACATAAAAATTTAACAAATATTTTAAACAATGTTTCTAGTTTGATAGGAAAGTTAAAGGAAAAAAATTATTGGGCAATAGTTGTTGCATGACCTTGAATGTCTCAAATATTATACAGTATTTGACATAATTACTTCCCTCTAGCAAACAAACAAATACTAATATGATTGCAGTATCTTCTAGTCCTCTGTAAAAAACTGCATTGAAGTCCAACTTAAAATGACTGTATCCTAGGATAGACAGGATCTATCCTGGGCCTTGTATTCCACAGGCCAGTAACAGGATGTTATTATGTGAATTCCATTTCAAAATAGCTATTCCTTTCTCAGACTTCTTGGGTTCTTAATATTACATCTTCTTCAAAGACTAAGAAAGGAGACAGAAAGACACCACTGAAGTTTAAGCTCTGTTTCTGAGACAGAAAGAACCAAAAAAGTTGATTATAGAAACTAGTATGAGGTGAAGAACAAAAATTAGTGTGGCTATTCATAAATATAGGTGGTGCAACAGTACTGACTGTTTTGAAGTCTTTAGCAGTGGACTAAAAACTACAACTAAGAAGCTTTATCAGTGTAGAAACACCTCCATACTGTAGCTTCCAAAGCTACAATCCATTAAATTTCCTTTGTACCAATTCTTTCTGAAAAACCCAAGCATTACATTTTAAGAAATCAACACATTATTTAAATTTGAAAAAAGCTATTTGTGAACTGAATCTTTTCCCACCATTTTTAATTGCCAGTACAGCCATATCTGTCAAGCCCAATCCCTCTGTTTTTTTAATATAAATCATGTCCACCTTGGACAGCTGTAGTTTACTAATCTGTGAAGAGATTACCAGAATTCTCTCTGGATGAATGGATGTCTGTTGCTTTATATATGCAAGCTATTCCATAAGTGAGGGTGTTCACAGAGATGGAAATGTTATATAATTTATGCATGTTGACAGCTATAATCACATTACTGATTAAAAAACTTTCTAGTCTGAGTATTTTTTTTTTAAGATAGCAAAAGATTTACCAGCAAATAATCCAGTAATCCCATTTTTAGCGACAATTTTCCTCATAACTTCCCAGGTTGATGTACAGTCCCTCTGTGGAACTCAATATAGTACAAGAAAACAGTGAATTAAGCAACATATACAATGCCACAGAAAAATATTTTTAGCAGAGACAGTCACTTCAGATGCAATTATTAGGTTTAATTAATTTTATATTAATTTTATCCGTACTATTTATGCAGGATATTAAATTCATACAGTATGCGAATTCATACAATAGTCAGGCTTAAAAAGCATGACATGGAAAAACCTGCAATAATGCCGGGAGTAAGATATATGAACAGAGACAATATTCCTTATTAGAGTAACTGATACAGGTGAAAAAATTCAACTAGCTTCCAAATGAGCCAGTTCTTCTCCATGTCACTTTACACATGCAGCTACAAGATCATCACGATTCAGATTTTTAAACAAGAACTTTCCCGTATGGTAAACCAAATCTAAAGAGTAAGTTCTGAGAATAGATATCATAAGAATTAATATATTAAGCTAGGACACTACACCTTACATCAAAGTTTACAAAAATCAAATCCCCCCCAAATTTATAAGTTTAGTTTGAGAATGTATAGGTCTATGAGATATGGATTGCAGTTCCTTGTAGAGCTAAATACAATACCATAAGCAACTGAACTGCAGCAGCATCAAGGAGCAGTCTGCATCAAGGACATATGCAGCTGTTTTAAATGGAGATGGTTTTTTGTGCTCACTCTGCATGTGCTGTTTTCATTGATCTATAATATGAAAGTGGCTACAAAAATTTTTTGTAGACTGAAATGAAAACAGTTTCATAGAATACATTCAGCAGAAATATCCTACAGCCTCTGGAAGCTGTAAAATATTTTTGCAGCCACAGAGAGACAATATGTAGATGCATAGTCCATGTCCAACTCTAACAGCAACTGGATTTGGAAAGAATTAAACTAGTACAAATTATATGTAACCATAATGAAATTTTAAATATATACTAATCTAGTTAATATCAGCCTAATATATCTATGGCAGCTATGTGTGATTCAAAGTGGCATTAGCAATGAATTCTTATATTCATCAGCACAAGGGAAGAATTGAAACACAGAAATTATTTATCTTTAAAGCTTTTTTGATCTTCGTTCTGCAATGAAACCTAAATTTTTTGAGAATTATACCAGAAAAAAATAATTTACCCGAGAGAATGAAACCTCATGCCAAAAAGCAAGCATCAAGTTTTTATAACATCTTTCTGAACTAGAGCCTTCAAATTAGTTTCTAAGCAGAAACTGCTTGGGTACTCAGCCTTTTTACTGGTTGTTAATCTTAAAGCTATGATCTAATATTTATTTAAGTTAATGAAAGTCCCTCATTGGTCCAAGTCCCAAGCAGTGGAGAAAGAAGGTTTTAGATACAACTTGAATTTATATAAAACACAGTGGTGCTCTACTGAATACAGAACAAAAAAGGAATTTCCTTCCTCTTTCGTCTTTTAAAGCTGTGAGGATATTCACTAATATGCCCTCAAAACCAATTTGTCTGAAATCACACAAAAAAAGAGGTAAAAAATATACAAACCGAACACAGTGTTTTTACTCTCTAGCCTAATATTTAACAAAAGAGGAATATCGTTATGAAGGAGCAAGTGGTAGAGAAAATGCAAACATTTTATCATGTTATTTTTATTAACTCAAAAGTCTTTTTCAATAGATCACTGTTCACCTGAATGATTTGTAAGAAATTAATTTTTTGCCTATTTAAATATAACTTACTTAACTGTATACATATTTGCAATGGGTCTGCCTAAATGTAACAGCTCTGGATTTTTTTGTTTATATTTTATACCATCTTATTAACCTAAATGGTGCTGAACTTACACCTTTTCCCTCCTCCATGCCATTAATGAAATACTGTATTTATCCTTGGAGATAAAAAATATCCTACAAAATATTACAATCTGGAGAAAAAAAAAAAGGCCTTAGTGATAGAATTTTTAGATAAACTTTAGAAGAGACAAATATTTAAAATTCCTACCAAAAGTCTATATACTCAAACACTAGGTTTTATTTTTCCAAACATTATGGTTTTTTTTTCTCCTTACCAGCAACTTACTTTTTAAGGTCTCATTCTCCCAAAGTTCAGTCTGCCTATATGTTTTCACTACATCAAATGGCAGAGTTATGACAGCTGCAATCTGTCAGGAAAATAAATCAGTTTTAATGTTAGAGCACAATTAAAATGTAACTAAAATTTTGACATTAAAGTGCATACAATTTAAAACTAGATTTGATATTCCAGGCATCTGATATTATTAAAAGTTTTGTATTTCAGAACACTGTAATTTATTCAGATATACCTATTGAGCTTGAATGCCAGGGCCATGTGTATCTGAAGTAGATGTACCCCAAAACATACACCATTTCTGAGAGATTCATATAAATTCATAGTTCTTTTAAATAGTTTATTAGTGGTAATAACAGTGAGTAGTACCAGAAACATATACTTACAGAGCCAGATACTGCTCCTGAAGTAAAAGCAATGAAAAATGTTGGTTCATGTGCACCAATTTTCTTGCACATTATCTTCTTGAAATGTTCATAATTATACCAGTACATTGCTACAGTTATAAAAAAATAAGCTTGCATTACAACACGTGTATGTCCAATACAGAAATTCTTATATTTGAATTGTATGTCCCCCTCATGCTCTTCTGGGGAACAGAGTGTAAAATTGAATACTGAGACAATGAAAAAATACAATTTTGCTCTCTGGAATTACTAAGGGGAGAATGCCTCTGTGAGGATTGTCAAAGGCAAGTCAAACAACTTCTAAGAATAACATCTGTTTCTGTTTTCATCTGCTAACTAAACTGCACTCTTTCTGCATTCTAACTAAAACTCTTTAAACTATATGCTACCGGGTTGAATTATAGAGTGATTCCTTGTGGCAGTTGGTCAAATAAATACTGCAAATAACAGCTGCATATCCTGAAAAATAACTGTGTCTCATGCAGCACTGAGATCTGAAGGTTGTTCCAGCAGAGAAATATCAAAGTATTTTCTTGCCATGAAGACTGCCAGCACATACACCTGGCCTCCAATATTTTGCAAAAGTAAATGTAGGCAGTATCTCAGAAGGCATTCTAAGGGTTTGAGAAAAACCTACTACTGAAAAGTACAAAACCCTATTTTAATATAAATTACGTAAATCCAAAACTTCACTTAAACACCTGCAGGACTCCCTTCCTTATATACTGTTTACCTCAACTCTTGTGCTTATAAACATTCATAGCTTAAGTTTTATTTGGTCTAGTTAGTCTCCCAAGAAATATGCTTGAAGGACATCATTCACACTTGGGCTAGTAATACGGTGGGATTCTAATCACCCTATGCTGCTTGAGTCATGTTGTGCTGCCTGCCTGATTTCATGGAGGAGCTTTCTCAGTACAAATTTTTACCTTGATTTTAATTCCTCTTGAAGGAGCTAACTTGAGCTAACTGCAGCAACGACACAGACTGTACTGTAAGAATACCAGAAACCATGATGCTGTTGGGGCATCATTCAAACAGAAGAGCTAAGATTGAACGTATTACTGAAGATATCTTAAAGAATAGTCCTAGGACTAGCAATGCTCTGTATCAGACTTTTATTCTAGACTTTCAGCTTTGGAGCTTTGCTACCAAACGGTGCTCTAGCTTCATGGTTTTTGGAGCAGTTATACAAACTCATTCACATTGCTAACAAAAATTCCTGACGACACTACTGTGCCACTCTCTTTGTACTTGTTTTCAAAATGGAGCATCAGAACACTTAGATACAGCATGTTTCTCTATAAGGAAACAGCCACTCTACCTATCACAGAAAAAAATTCTATTGAAATTCATCAAAAACAGTCATTGCATAAGCTAATTTTTTGCCAATCGTAAACTAATTTTTTGCCAAGAAAGGTTTAGACCAGGTGATCCTTGATGTCCCTTCCAACCTGGTATTCTATGATTCTATGATTCTAAAGATGGGAAGAAACAGTCTAAGTATAGGGAAGGGGAATGTAACAATGAAGCCTACCTGGTATCCACAAACAAAATGGAAAAAAAAAATAAATCAGGTTCTCAAAGAATTTATAAATAAAATTACTCAGAAGAAGTAAACCTCAGTCATTCTTAAAGTTAACCATTAATATTACCTAAAACCACAGGAAAAGTCTAAAACAGTTATGCATAAACAGATCTTCTAACATAACACAAACTTGCATGGAAAAGAAACCCTACCCGAGAAAGGTACATCTCTCAGAACAGTAGAACTCCAGCCCCTCCACAAGGAAAACCATCCGTCTGTAGCCACTTTACTGCTGACATATGTGTACAGTTGCTTGTAGGACAACTTGCGATACTGCGTTCTAGTTCTGATCAGCTCCAGGGGGCTCACAACAGTAAGTGAACCAACTGCAAATGAGAAAAATTCGGGCTTTTTTTAAGTCAACATTTATTAGTAATATTCCCTGAGGATTAAATCAGATATCACTTTGCTTTCTACATCTGATTCCTTCCAACTCTCCCATTTTCCTTGAAATAATTCCCTAAATAAGTTTCCTTTCTAGATAAGAATACCATATCTATTCATAGTACCTAAACTTTCTGGGTGCACAAGCTCCCTACCTTTTTTCAATAGTGGCATGTTGTAATCCATGTAACATGTTAAGAATCCTCATTTTCAGATTTATTACATAAATAGGCTGAAAATATCAAGTACTTATAAAGATTACTTTTCAATAATTACCATTTTTGAGTGTAACTTGAAGAAAGTGAGCTTGGGGTTTGGTAGGGTTTTTTTGTTAAGAACAAAAATGAAGGTTAGAGATTAATTGATTTCTAAGCATCTTTGCCATTCTTATTTTAAACTATGAAGATTATTTAGCAGGCAATCTGTATCTGATAAAGTAACTCTCTTGCATCTCATGGAAAGATCAGTGAGTCACCACTCACTAACAAGCTGCCATCACACATTTAACAGACTCTTAATGATTCTACTTTTCTCCTGTTGCTGGGATAATGTTTCTTTGACATGTGAATTTAAAATCTGGAGCAGCTTAATAAAAATTTGCCACATACCACAGAATGGTACTTTTTCTACTAGTCTTCCAGTCCCCCTCATAGTTGTCACAAGTAGAATATGGAACTACATTCTCAGAGTCTTCTAGGAAAGCCCAAAAATATATGTCCTGAGCTATTGTTACAAAAATAGATGGGGAAAAGGATAAACAAAAGTAAGAAAATATAAAAGGAAATTAAGTCCTTTTATATCATACAGCAGTAAAACCAGTACAATTCCATTTTTCAATTTCCTTGTAATTACCTGTGTAGCTGCCATTACAGAAAATAATTATGTTTATTATTAGATTCACCACAGAACAGACTTAAATCAAACTGTCTTTGGTAGAAGTCTAGAACTATAAAATTTTGAACAAATTACAAATGTAGTGAAAGCAAAAATCAATCACATTATTCCAGGTTAGAGGGTTATATTGCCCAAGAAATACTGGGTAATTACAGTATTCCTTCCTATGCCCAGCTCCACATAATATTATCCTTTGTTTAAAGCCACAGCAAATTTACTTTAAAAACAAAACAACATAACAAAGCCAAGAAAACAGCATACAGATATTTTATTTCCGTTTTCTCTTTAAACAAATGACAACTCACATCTGCTTAAGGAACCTGCAAGAATTGGAATGTGTTCATTGTCCTTTCCTAGTCTAGATTTCAGAGCTTCACTCAGCCGGTCATAGCAGGTAAAATAGATTACTGTGGTGGGAAGTGCCATTATTCTAAAATATAAGAGACGGAATCTAAATTAATAGAAGGGAAACAGGAGAATCAAGTCAACCATCTTGTATAGATATTTTGTTTAAATATGGAAAAGTTAGATCTCCAGCTGTGTGTCGTTATGAAGAAAAAACATGAATCCCATGGCTTTCATTCGCTGACTCTAGTTCAGAGTTTCAAACTCACAGATTTCTCAGTTTTCTAGTTTATAATTTCACTAGGAAAAACTAAAAGTAAAATGACGGTGCATTATCTCAGTCAAAATGTATTTCATATCAGCTTCAGAACTGTTTTGATAAAGGAATGGAATTGAAAGATCTGAACATAAAGCAAGCAAATAAACCATAATGGAAGCAACTACTAACCATGAATTTTTATTCATTTAACATTTGAAGAGTATTTTCTATCTTAATCAACAATTATGATTCTTGTTAGTTGAAAGACTCTCATGCTTGGAAAACCAACAAGTCATAGTTTAGATCTTCTTTTAAAAACAGTGTACCTCTCTCCAACCAAGAAGCTGGTTCTCCTCTGCAGTATGGAACACATGTTGAAGAAAAGACTCTCGGTCACAGCTGAAATACAAACCTCTTAGCTCAGTTAGATCCTAAAGGTTTATATTTTGAAATTGACACATGCTGCAGGTTCGACAACAAGGCCTGAGCGCCACCATGCTTTGTTTTTTTGTGCCTATATACTGAGCACTGTGTGCAAATCAAAAGTGTACCAGTGCTTTCCCACTGCACTCCTTGACTTGGAACAAGAGAACTATAAAACAACGTTTCATGTCTTAAGGATATAAATTTAATACACATTTTAGATTTTACTACTTTTTTCAATTGCTTATGGAGGAGGACATAATTATAGAGGTCTTAATTACTATCTGTACTAGGTTAATATGAATAACAAGAGATTGGTGCTGTTTAGTCTAAAGAGAATACCAGGAGGGGATTTGATAATAGTGTTTAAACATGTAAATTGCACTTGTGGAGAGAAAAGGAATGATCTGTTTTCCATGACAGAGTCGTATAGGATAAAAACCAACAAAGTTATGTGGAATAAAGAAGATTCTAGTTGGATGTTGAAAAAAAAAATTAAGTCAGGGTAATGAGGTGCAACACTAGAGTGTCTGTGGAAAGAGCTGTGTTGCTGTTTGCTAGGATAGCAAATATCGATCAAACACTAGTGTACTCTAACAATCACATTTGACCCTACGGTTCGATGATGCTATCAAAGGGATGGTTACAGTCAGGATACCACCTCTAAGAGGCATAATGAAGTCTGATACTCCATCTTAACTACGGAGAATGTACCAAAGAAGTTGCAATGAGAAATCTCAAGATCTGGCAGAAATTATACTGTATTTAGATGTTTTCTAATCAAAATTATCTGTAACTTCAGAATTTACCTTTTTTTTTAAAATCACTTAGAAATAAACATACTCATTTGTCTAAAAAGTTGAGTAAATTCTTTAATAATATTTAATAACATGTTACCGAAAAAAAAGAACATTCAGCTTACAGTGTTGGGGGAAGTCCATTCCACAGTGATTTAATTCCCTCTATTTGAATAATTTTCACAAATGCATCCTATAAATATAACCAGGCAAAAAGAAATAATTAGCTACAAATCTTTTGCACTCAGTAATATATTTTAGATGGCAGAACACAAAATTAATGTATTAAAAAAGTATGTTTCTAAAATGGCTTATCATTCTAAGAGCCAAATTTTGTAATTGCTAATGCTAGCTATCATATTTAATCACAAAAATAATTCCACTGAGCTGAACAGAAACATTTGTGTGTTTGAAATTATGAACCTCCTTCCATCATTAAAGGACCATAGTAAGTTTTTATCCATAACCGATAGCCCTGTAAGTAAGTTATTTTCAGAACTAACACAGCACAGGAGCAACTTGTGGAAACTTCCCTCAGATAGTCCACTAAAATATTTTTTTAATACATAAAAAAAGCTCTAGGCATGAAATAACAATTAACTCTCAATGATTCTCCAATACTTGCTTTCTCTGACAACGTGACAACATATGTGCAATATGTATACACTATACTATATACTCAGAAGCTTACAATTAACATCACAGCTGTCCCATATATTCCCAGACTACTGACAACAGAGGAACACTGAACCTTGAAGATCATTCAGCTGAAACCACCATCAAAACCACAAACTCCCTAATATTAGGATACTTACTTTTCTTAAACATTTGGGGGAAGAGGTTGAGATTTGATGCATTAGAGGATGCTTAAGACCAGACATTACCACAGGGCCCCAAAAGATATAGAGCCTGACAAACACAAAAAGGAATCACAGGAAGTAAAAGGAATAGATTTAGAGGAGGCAGCCTTGATGGACAGACCCACTGAGGTAAGTTGCATGGGGAAAACAGATGTGATTTATTAAAATAAGCATGACTTCAAAAAATGGAGCTTTGAGGAGTCACGAAATCCTAGAAGTTCCTAACATGAGTTGACAAAAAAGGCACTCCAGAGGAAAAAAAAAGACAGAAAATGCCATACTAGTAGTTAATGTTTTCTCCAAATATATTCTGTACTAGTTAGGTTATATGTTTATAATACAACTTCAACAAATTTACAATACAGGAAGGTATACATAAAAGATTGGAGAAAGAATGTAACTAAATCCAGTGACTGAGAAGCATATGTATATACCTTACTAACTGTATGGGCAAATACAGCAAAACATTAGTACAGTCCTATCACTGAAAACCTCTCATGTCCACTACAGTTTTCGTTACTGCACAATTGTCCAGCACTGCTCTTTCAAAAAAATGAAAGGAGATCCAATGATATGATAGTCATTCTTCTTTATGAATCACCTTGTCACAGCAAAAATGGGCATAAAATTCTGTGAATTAGAAAACTAAGCAACTTTCTAAAAATGACATGGTACAGTTAATTGAAAAACTAAAACTTACAGAATTATTATTTTTTAAAAAAATTACAGTGTAAAACTGCTCAAGAAACCTTTTGCATGAACATTTCATTCTCAGAAATTTAATTCTGAAAAATTCATCACATGTTTAATTTAATGGTAGAGTTAAACAAATTTTTGATTAATGAATCATCACATCATCACAGTGTCTGACAGCAAGTCTGCTTCAGGTGCCTGGGTAAAATGCTAGTCCTACAAGTTTCACTCGATCCAGAACTTGACACATGAGCTTAACTTCAAAACACTATCTGCAGTTTTAGTGCAGCTCAGGAGCGTACTGGGAGAACTCTGGACAGAAAAGCTGTCAGCAGGTACAGAACATCAGTACCTGCAATCAGCATCTATTGGCAATATAGCTCAAGTGGGGAAAATATAATCATAGAGCCAGTATCCTGTGAGGAGAGCTGTGTATCTGCTCCCTTGTTCGTCTAAATGAAGTAATACGTATTTTCTTGTAGAAAGTAGAAGGTATCATTAATCACCATATAAATTACACAGTGTAACTACATGAATACCCTCTCAAATTATAACAGATTCTACAAGAACTTAAAAAACCCAATAAATTTACAGTATGCTACTTAAAAATTTTTTCAATGTACAGATTTATATAAATGTAAAATGTTCTTACCAACGTCCCTTTGAAATGCCCAGTTTTTCTATGCCCTAGTTTGCTGTCCCCACTCTCACAAACACACATATGATCCGTAAGGCCATTGGAGTATACAAAACACTTTCCTAATAAAATGGTGTGTAAGAATACAGTTAATACTATTAATATCGTTCTTACTCAGCAGCAATTTCTAATTGGATATAATAGCAACACAGATTTATCTCTCGTTAGACATAGAGGGGCAAAATAATCTTGGAAAGTCTATGACAACAAATTAGGTAAAAGGCAAGAGGGAACAAAAGTACTCCTCAGAGTGCCAGACTAAGTAACACTGCCCTCTCAGGCTCCAGGAGACATGTTTATGTTATAATAACATCTGCTGAAGGCTAAAGACAACTGAAGACCTGAATGTCACCATTGTATGTAACAATGTGAACATCTCTCAAGACTTTTAAATCTTGTATTAACTAGCTTCAGCATCCACATTACAAGGGGAGGTATTATATCTTAGGTTAGAGTGTATACTAGATCATCCTTTTTACTTGTTTTTGATCTCTCCTACATCATGTACGTTGAACCTGTTTGATAAAATATTCTTGCTATTACAAAAACTTACTTTGAACTTCACATTTTCAGATTTCTGAAGGGTTTAGAATTTACTAAAAATTCCAGATAGAAGGCACAAGTATTCTTCCTGATTTACATCAAGTGTGACTCCAAATATTCATATTCACATACAACATGGAACACTAGTCATCTCCTTTCCTTTTAAATTTCATTTATTAATTACACCTAACTAGTAGGACTCATTGGCATATCTTTGCGTGCACAATGTCTTCATCTATTTAGAACACAAATGGCAAGTGACTTAGGTAAGACTTATTACTCTTTCTCAATTCTCCAGACTCTGGAGAAGATGAACTTTGATATAGCATCCCAATGACATAATCCCTCTGATGAAATATTTAGTTATTTATTAACTGCTTTTTTTTAAACTCAACTCAGTACTAGCTGTACCTTCTGTCACAATGACAATACTAAGAAAGACAGAAAAAAGCCTGTTTTAAAATGGTATCTATTTATGAGATTTTTTTTTTCACTGTGTCTGTTCATTGGAACGTTCTTTCTTTAGCAATTCCAGTATATATTGCTGGGTTGCCTTTTTTTCCCCCCACTTATGCTGAAGAAGCAACTGTAACTATTGTGAAACAAATGAAAACATTCTGTAGCTCAGCATTATGATAACTATCAGCTAAATGCAACAGCAAAAAGCAAACTGTGTCCTCCATTACACTACACATTTATTTACCCTTGGAAAATGGATTGCTTTGGGCTTGCAGTCGAGTTTTGATAACATCAAGAGGAGTTACTAAAATGAAACAGAAGTCATTTAGAAACACTGCATGCCCTGAAAATGTAGAAGTGTACAGATGACTTATCGTGAACTTCTGTGACTTTTTTTTTTCCCAGAGGGAAAAAAGAGACCTGTTTACAATGTCATCAGACAGAGGAAAATAGAACTACAAATCCTGTATGGTTTGCAAGTGACCCTATGTATCTTTTCCAATTTACTAACAGCTGCACAGACAACAAATACTAGATACACAAAGCTCATCCAAAAACTATTGTCTCATCTTGTCTGAAAGTGCTAAAACTTATGCTATTATGCTCTGCTGCTAATCTTTTATAAGTGGCATACCACAAGGCATATGAGATCAGATTTTTACCTCAAGCATATAAAATATTACAGCATTTTTCATGTGTTTATTCTTTTTCAATAAACTTACTGTAATAGTGACATCCAAAAGAAAAACATTAAACTCATGATGGACTTTCCTGCTTTGCTGCGTGTAGACAAGATCTCAAACTTTAGAGTTGTTGAAAAGTAAATGAAGCGTTAGTGAACACTTCATTGCTTCCACTCCAGCCTTCACAATTATTACAGACCTAGACATGCTGAATGCTACAGTGGCTGGTCAGCTGGACCAGCCTCTACTCTTTATATTGACTGAGGGCTTGATTTAGTTGCCTACATACAAGCAGCTAGTGCCATCTGAGTCTCTAAGGTATAAAAAATACCTACACAATAGGCAGAAATGACACAGGACCTACAACCTTACTAAGAGACAGATAGAAGCCAAGTCAAATACTCTAGCACATGTCTCACTGAACACATTTCTATGCACAGGCAACTGAGTCACACCTTAGCTCTCTCTATTAATGCCTCTCAGTTGACTAACAAAGGTTGAATACTTGGCTTACATTTCAGTATCTAAATGCAGGAATCTAAATGTGACTCCTGCAGCTCAATTCAGCTTAAAACTTGGCATCTAGTAGCATTTTAGACACTCACACATATTCTGCTTCATCTCCCAACAGAAAGGAGATGGTCTCCTATACCTCTTGAGGTCTTGAATGCCACCACTTTCCACTGTATTAGAATCTTATGTACACACAGTTGGAATCCATCTTGGGAAATCCACAGGTCTGATGTAGCTTTGCTTGCTACTTCACTTAACATCCCAGGACACATGGTATAAAAACAGACTAAAAAGACTGAATTTTACATGTTCCTGGTAAGATGCCATTTTGTAAAAATGTGGAAATTTTGAGGGGGAAACAATTGTGCTTAGAAAACTGCCCTGCAGCATAATCAGTGTCAAAAGTCTGAACCAAAGGCTAGCTTAAGCCAAAAAGTAACTGAAATACAAAGTACAAGCTAATGAGCTTGAAGAGCTCCAAGGGATATGAAGTGCTGAATCTAACCAACCAGTGCCTCCTTAGGTACACAGGAGGGAGGAGGTCCAGAGCAAGACAACTGAATATGAAGCAGATTAGTTCTACAGACTATCCAGAAGTTTATCCTTAAAAGCAGTGTTAAGGGACACACACACCCCCTGCCCAATAAAAGTCTCTGGTAGTACAAGGCATTACAGCAAAATGAATAAATGTTACTACTGAAGTGGTAGCATGGACGTCTCACGGGGACCATCCTTGCAGGATTTGTGTCCTGTACTATAAAGCAAGTTTTTAGTTAAAATCTATTTTTAAGCGGCAGGAAGTAGGTGAATTAATTTTTATTATTTATTTATTTTCTTGCAGAAAGTAAGCAATGAATTACTACACCAAGAGGAAAAAAGATATCAAAATGGAAAGTTAATAAAAATTATACTTATTTGCAGAAATCGTTAAAGATTATCAGAGAGGGGAAGGATATCAATTAACCACAGTTGCTAAAATACAACAAAAAGTATAAGGAAACTATTAAAAAACATCCTTGCTAAACATATTAGTGGAAATTTATAAACCATATATATGTAGACATCATGCCGAGTCAAACTCAAGAGTAATCACTTTGCAAAATTATCTCTGTGACAGGCCCGACAGTTTGCCTTACCAAATAATGATGTAATTATAGCTCCACAACAAGAGGCCATTGCTTGCTGAATAATGGTTGTTTTATCTAAGTTGTTATCACTCATTTCAGCAATGGCTTTATTCCTGAAGAATAAAAAACAGTTAAGGAACAGAAAAACATATTGCAAGACTATGTTCAAAACATGCAGGAAAATCAAAGGAAAAAATATTTCAAATTTTCATTCATATAATATGTATAAGCAGCAAAGATGTAAATATTAGTTTTCTACCTCAAGCACTTCTGTAACTTTTTGAAATTTGAATTTCCACCATGTTTCATAATCTAAGTTTTCTAAATTACAATAATCTTCCAAATTCTTCTTACACGAATTACAATGTTTATATTTTTTTGTAAACCTCACTAAATATTTAATATGTATTACCTCTTGCTGCAACAAAGGGTTTAGGAGCATGCAAATAATCTGTACAAAGATACGATTCCCAGCCTGAGGCACATAAACTGTAGTACAACAGACTAATTCATCTAGTCCTCCTCTTGCTTCTGTCACTCCCGTGAGAAAATCCAGAGGTCCCCTGGTTGATTCACCAGGCACAGCCTACTAGCGGTGATCATATCCTCTGGCAAGATCCTCATGCAATAAACAGTGACTAACTAGTATAAATACTACCAGTAAATAATTGCTTGAACAAATCCTGCTGTATGACTGCAAAGTTACAATACCTTAGGAATGTACTCACAGTATCTAAAAATAAGGAGCAGTATCCATAATGAGCCAGGACAGGAGGGGAAAATCACGACATAAAGTCCTAAAATAAAGGTGTATCTTTCCAAATGCATGTCATGCGTAAGTGCAGTCATGAATTTATTCGTTTGCAGTGATTTTTATTTGATCTACAGGAACACTATGTTTTGCTATTTTCACTGGGTTTCAAATAAAAGATAAGAAAGGTTACGCTGCATAAACCAAGACTCATCTCCTGGATACCAAGAACTAACTGGGGGGGGGAGTTGTCTTTTTAAATATATTTTTTAACTCATGTTCCAACAAAACTACTTTCCAGAATAGCAGATGCAACCCGTTTACAAGCAGCGAGCGGGGTGTGATCGCCGGAGGCAAAGCCTTCGGCAACAAAAATGCGGACCATGCCCTGCCAGCCCCGCCAGCCGCCTGTCAGAGCCCAAGTCCCACACAGCGGCCGACGGCGCAGCCGAGCCCCGAGCCGGGCCGGTGCCCCGACCTGCCCTCGAGCCCGGGAATGCCCCGGTGAGGGGGAACCTCCGGGGCGGGAGGCGCTGAACACAGTTAATTCCCCGAGGCCGGGCGGGGAGACTCTTCCCCTGGATTTCTGCTGAGGAGAGTGCCCACCGGCCCGTCCCGCTCCCTGAGGCGAGCTGAGGGAGGTACAGCCTTCCTCCCGCAGTAACGGCCGCCGACCTCCCACTCCCGCGGAGCCCACCTGCCCGCGGGCCGCCTTTCCCTTCCCCCCCCGCTTCGCAGGAGGTGTTCCGCCCGGCAGCGCCTCTCTACCTCCCTTCTCCCTCAGCGCCCGGCCCCCGCCGGCCTGCTCCCCACTGCGCGCGCGCGGCCGGCCGTTGGCGAGGCGCGGCGGGGCAGGGGGCGGTCCTGGGCGCCGCCGCCGTTCGGCGAGAGGAGGAGCGAAGCCCCGCGCGGCGGCCTGGGGCTGCCGGGGGCGGGAAGGCCTGGGGAGGCGGGCACGGCACCGCTCGGAGGCCTGCGACGGCCCCAACGGCTGCGGCGGGGAGGGCCGGGAGCCCGCGGCGGGTAGCCGGGCTGTGGCGGGAGGGGAGGGCTTGGAGCCGCCGCCGCCGCTGCTGCTGCGTGCCGGGGAGCTTAGCGGCTCGGCTGAACCCACAGGTATGCTGGCGGGCGGCGAGGAGAGGACGGTGTAACTCTGCGGGAAGATGAAACCGAGCGCCGTGGAGGCCGCCGACAAAGGAGCGCGTCCCCGTAAGCGGCGGGTCTCTGAGGGTGGCCCGGGGGGGGGGGAAAGCTGCCGCGTCCCGGCTCGGAGCTCGGGGCGGGGGGGAAATCGATCGGGTCTTGCCCACCGGCAGCGGGGTTGCTGCCAACGGCGGGCTGGTGCCGGTGCCGCCGGCCTGGCTCCCGCGGCCAGGCCCTGTACCAGGCTAGCGGGTAAGCACGCATTGGACTGGCTTTGTTAGTGACGGGCCGCTGAAATAACCTTTGCACGGTTTGGGGAGTCAAACGTAAAAGTGTGTACCTGAAAAGGTAGCTAGCTAACTTGTTCTGTTTTACAAGACGGTTGCAGTGCAAAGAAACTAGTAGATACGTTGAAATTCGTAGGGCCGCTGCCGTGCAAGCTGCTCTGCCAGGGCAGATCTTTGCTGGTATCAGGAGCGTGCATGAAGGCCTATTAGGCCCAGGGTGTTAAAATGCAGTCGTTGAACGAAAGAGACTCTTTACTGTTATTGTAGAACTGCTAACTCACTTCAAAATTGTGGTTGTCTGTAAGAAGTTTAATGCATATTTTCCAATATTAATTCCAGTAATTACTACGTTAATTTTTGAGCTGCCTTGGTCATCACATATTTGATCCCTGGTCATCTATGGAGTTTCACTTGCACACCTGCTTATTGTCTGTCTTTTCTATTTAGATTCTGAATCAGTTACATTATCCTAAGCCTCCCCATTTTCTTATTTCTCTAATCGTTCTGGTCTAGGTTCTACAAAGCTGACAGCTGTACCTGCTTCACTTCTATGCGTTCATAAGCATTGCTTACCGAGTCTTGGCAGCATGAGTTGTGGATCTGCTCCCTCTCCCATCTCAGACCATTTCAGGGAGGGAGAGGATACATAACAAAGGGACTGTTTTGCCTCTTGTTTTTTTGTCTTCAGAAGAGGCCTGCTCACTTCCTGTAGCAGCCCTCATTGTCTCTTTTGAGCATCTCCAGAAGAGAAGCAACTAGGAATAGGGTGTTGGTCAGTGAGGAAGAAAAGACAATGTAAAACTAACAGTGTACAAGTCTTGGATGATTCTGGCTCTGTCATTGGTTGTAAATGAATTGCTGTGGAAGTATGTAAGGACAGAGAAGGTATAATTATTCTCATGTCATAATATTACTCTAGTTTCCAGATGTTTAGCTACAGGGACTTTGTGAGTTGCATATCACTTCTGTGCATTTAGGAGCCCTCAAAGTATTCCTCTTCCTTGTACCTGTACAGCTTCCTCTAGAGATCGCATCTTAGTACGAACAGCATTCTTCAGCAGCAAGCTACACAGGGTTGCCTTGTTGCATAGAGAATCAGTTTCCAGTTTTTAATTTTGTACCTGAGTCCTAGTTTTGTTTGGTGCCCCATACCTCTTCTACTGGAATAGGCTGTTTAGCCATTCACTCTCTGTTCTTCTTGATTTTGTATGTTTTCTTTTTCCCCTAAGCCATATGCTTTACAGACTGACAGAGTCTTAATCTACAAAGTCATTCTTCATGCCTTTGATTATCCTTGTTAGCAGCATCTTAAATACAGCCTGGAAAAGAGTGAGTCCTGCATTTATGAAGGGGCATAATAAAATTATCCCCTTTATTTTCTGTAGCTTAATAATTTTTTTTTTCTTTTTTGATTGCTACTCAGTATTGAACCAGTGCTCTCATAGAGCTCTATCATGCTTCTGGATCTCCCTTGAGAAATGAGGCTTATTTCTGATGCAGACTGATTTTTTTATTTGCTTATCTAAATGTCTAGTCTAACACTTAGGCCTACATGGATAGCTCTGTGTCAAGCATCAGGAAAGTTCATCACCACAGTTTAATTGCTGTATGTCCTTTCATAGTTTTCATGTAAAATTCACTGGGACAGAAAGAGTGGTTATAACTAGAATGGTGCTGAACTTTAGGCTTAGTTTTCCTGCATCTTAGGTGAGTGTTCAAAATTCAGATAAATAGTAGTATCTAGATCTTATATTTTTTTCTCTTTCAGTTACTGTTGACAGTTTTTTGTTCTAATGAGTTTATATGAATCCTTATTGGTTCAGATGAATAAGAGACAGAATCTTTTCTAAAATGGTGTTCTTGTGACTCTTGCTGACTGAACAAGTAGTGTATGTACTGTCGTAAAAAGGTAGCAAATACTTGCCAAACTGGGTGAGAAAACTGGTGACATTGTATAGCAATCAAAATAAAAGATTCTTCTTAAAGTCATACCCTAAATGGACTTTAAGGGCTATATGTGGTATTATTATCAATGCATTGGTTTTGACATGTTTAACATATAGTTACTTTTTAAAAGTCGTCCTATATTGCATGGAAGCTTGCCTTACCTGTTTCCAAAATTTAGTAATTTTCCTTTTTGAAAAGAAAAAAACAAGGTTTGTAAAACACAGTCCTGTTTAAATTCTCTTTTCTTTTTGCAGCAGATGGAATGCAAGCAAAACCAGAAAAGATAAGATCTTCTCTGAAGAATGTGAAAAAAGATACAGGAAAAACAGAGAAATTTAGATATAAGCCCCTCACTGGGAAGGTGTTTTACCTCGATATTCCTTCAAATGTGATCTCTGAAAAAATAGGAAAGGACCTCAAAGAGCTAGGAGGGGTAAGTTAATGAGCAGAGAGAGACCTTTATGAAACTACAAGAAAATGTGTCTGTGGAATGCCTTTCCATGTTCTTTGTGACTGCATTTTAATGTTATTTTTATTGTTGCAATGTTTAATATGAACTGTTAGTTTATCAACAAATTATTTTGTGTTTGATAGAAGCTGCTTTGCTAATAGTAACAAAGTGTTCATTATAAAGATTTGTTTTCAGTTGATTATTCATTTGCTTAGAATATTATCCAAATTTAATAAGCTTCTTTGAGGTGATTTTTTTTCTGCTGCTTCTGACTACATTGACATGTTTAAATGTTCCAACTGAAGTTGTTCATTTGAACCTGAAAGATTAGACAAAGTGTTCTGCATATGCTTACTAAAAGTCAGTAACTTCAGTAAGTATTTTTTGCACAGAGTATGTTAACGAGTATTTCTAAATACTCTTACTTAAATCTTACTTTTTTAAAGCATCTTAATACTTCTTTTTTTCCTATTTCTTCTGTATGGAAGAAACACTTTGATACAGCAAGTGTAGGGTATCATAGTAATACACAAGTGATGCAATTGCTTAGTCCACTTTAAAGTTCAGTGTTTTGATTTAGTGTAGAGGAACCTTGGCAGTTAAAATATTACAAACCCATTAACCACAGAAGTAAAAGGGATCTGCTTAAATTCCTAGCTGTTCTGAATGTTGCTTTGGCAGTACTTCTTTGACCTCAGAGAAGTGCTGAGCAGTTTTATGAAACTAACGCTTGTAAATCGAGATGCTGTCTGAAATTATAGTAGAGGCAAGGAATAGCATTAACATGGTTTCAAGTTAAATGCCTCTCTTTACATTTAGCATTAAGTGGGTGTACACTATCCTTTGTCTTCCTCTCTAAAACAGAGCTTTGGGAATTCGTATGTGAAAGGTAAGGTTGCAAATCAAAGACTGAAAAGGAAGTTTTTCTGTTTTATTCTGAAGAGTATATGCCTAAATCTGAGGTGCCCAGTGCCCGCAAGATCAACTACCACGTGTGTTTCGTTGTTGCTTGTGTGGCCTGCATGCAAAAGTGCCTCTCTCTGTATGTCTCATTTCTGTAAAATTGCATGGAAGCTTGCCTTTGAGCAGAATTGGAATGCACAGTTTCAAGCTTGTTGCCTGTGTCCATTCTGCTTTCCATACTGATTAGTGGAGAAAAGGAAAATATTTTAAGCTGCATAAACTGGCAAGAAATAACAAGGCAAATAGAACTGATAATCACACAACAGTTGGTAATGAAAGACTGAAGGAGCAAAATGGAAGAGAATAAGCATAGGATAACCACATACTTTGTCTTGCTGAGTATGAAAATGGTACGAGTCTACTTACAAAGTCTGCTACGTTTTTGAGATGTGTTATGAATATTGTAGGTATGAAACATGGTAGTGATCCTGAAATTTTATTTTTTCTGCTGGTTCTAAACTCAGTAAATGTATAGCTTCTCACAAGCTGTAAATTACATTTGCATACACATGCCTTTAATTTTACCTGAACACTTTTATGAAATTTCTGTTAATGTTATATAAACAGTGGTTTTCTTTGAATTATTCTGTTATTTCTCAATGCAGTATTTGAATTCTTCTATTTAGAAACTATTACAGCTAGATAGTCCAAGGAATTATAATAATTGAAACAAAGCAAAGCTCTTTTGATAGATGTTACAAAAGTAAGAAATTGAAATTGGAATTTGTGACTAGTAAGATGTTACTAAAGCTCAGTTGGAATTGTCATCCAGATCTTCAGAAAATATATTCTTGTTAATTCAGTGTTTTTGAACTTAACTATCCTAGAAGTTTTGTCACTTTATAGTATGCAGTGTAAAATTGAGATTTATTGTCCCGAAATAATGACTTGCTTTATATCTTTATATTTAGAGAGTGGAGAGTTTTCTGAGTAAAGATATCAGCTATCTGGTGTCTAATAAAAAGGAGGCAAAATTTGCAGCAAATCTTGGTCAGATTTCTCCTGTTCCTAGCCCAGAATCTGCACGTAACGGAGGAAACAGTTCACCTCATCCTAGCAGCCGAAAAGATCGACATGATGGAAGTTCATTTAAGATAGCAGATACAGTAAGTTTCTTAGTAATAATGCTGCAAATTGGATACAACCCGTGGGATATGCTCTTACAATTTTTCTCCTATTTTGTTTCCTAAAGACGGCAACAGTTCCTTGGGTGAATAAGGTGGTGTGGGCTTTTTTTTTATTTGCTTGTTTGTTTGTTTTAACAGGTCAAATATACTTTTAAACTACTTCAGGCTAACTTGTTAAACTTAACTGACTCAAACTAATTAAGCAAAGTTTCAAAAACTAATAAAAAATGGAGCTTTTTCTGCAAATAAGCAGACTACACTAAGATCTGTTGTAATATGGTATGTCAGCTTACAACACTGACATTGTTATGTTTGACAGTTGGATCAATATGGATAGGCTTGCGATGGCATCCAGTGGTTCCTGTCTAGCAACACAGCCTGTTAAAATCTGTCTTCTGTGATGCTGTTAATGCAGATATCGACAGAAGCGCGCTTTGATAGTATTTCAAGGAAATAATTCAAGTATTTAAAATTGAACATTATGAAGTCTTTCTGAGGTCTTAGAGGATCACATTAATTGCAACAGTATCTGAATTTGTGTAGGTTTATGTGAAATTTCTTAGTGGGCAAGTCTTGAGTCCTTTCAAAATACAGTTGGAAGCAATTAACTGTACTGTATACATGGTACTTACTTAGAAACACGACTGCAAGCCAGTCTGTGAGCTGGTCTTTGCATTTGCATAGGTGAGATCACCTCATTTTGCAGATAACCTGGGTAGGTAAAGGCATGCTCATTATGAATAAACAGCATACACTACAAAAGGAGATGCACTGAGGGTAGAAAGGGTGGGGATAAGACAGAGGCTATGATTATATTCATGACTGTTAGCTTAGATTGGCACAAGTCCACCTGATGAAACCTCATCTTTTGTATTTTTTGGAAATTAGTTCTAACTTGCTACAAATCTGTTTCTGTTTTAATATAGGTACGTATGAGTAGAGGAAAATCCCTAGTTGAAAAAGCAATCAAAGAGCAGGTAAGCCAAGTAATCAACAGATTTGTGCTTGAGAAGCTTTGGTTTTGCTCTTCTAGAAAACAAGCAGTAGTTAGATTGGTCTTAATGATCTAAGAAGTCCCTCATGGCACGCTCAAGCAGAAGTCAAAGGTTTGTCCTAAGTAAAACTGTCGGGTCATGCTTTCTGGGAACTTCCTGAAGAATTGAAAGTCTACCGAGTCTTATGACCAGTATTACAATTTATCAGGATTGCTGATATAGCTAGCATTTGAGAGGTGCTCGTGAAATGTTAATGTGTAAATTCACTGCCTTCAAATCTTACTATAAGATGTGACAATAGAGAACAGTTTTGGCTTTAAGAAAGATTAAGTATAGTCTTTTGATGGTGAAGTGCCGTGACGTGGAGATGGAAAAGTCATTTGAGGAGAGTGACAGTCTTTTGGCAAAAACAAAATATCTGCACTTTGATTTCAGCTTTAATATTACATGTTATATTGGTAGTTATTTTTCATAATCTACTATATATTGCTTAAAATTACTAACATAATTTATTGTTTGCAGGACTTAATCCCCTCTGGTAGTATACTATCCAATGCTTTGAGTTGGGGAGTGAAGATACTTCATATTGATGGTAAATATTTGTGTTTGATGAAGCCTAACTTGAACTTGTAACATTCATTTAATTATTCTTTTGTTGAATTAAAAAGATTAAAAATGACAGTTTACTTCAAACATACAAAAATAAACTCAGCTAAGCATAATTCCCCCTCTCTTTGCCAGATGTTAAGAATTACATTGAACAGAAGAAAAAGGAGCTCTACCTAATCAAAAGAGCAGAGAGTTCTTTTAAAGATGTGGTAAGTGGCTCTTCGCCATTTGTGAAAATGCCATTTGTTTCATTAACTGAGGAAACATAGATGTACTAAATACTACCTACTGTGAAGCTTACAGATTTTATTTTGATAAAGTCTTCCTCATGTTCAGTTTTTCACAGACCAGTATGTCTTGTGAATTGATTTAAAAACCATGTTTGAAAAATAGAAAGTATTAGCTATATGTTTCAGCATTATTCAAAAATAAATTCCATAGTAGAATTCATGACATAAAGTGTAGACCTTTGCTCTTGCAAATGATTTCTAAGAATCAAAGGTACTGAACTGAAATTTCCATTCTGCCTACCTCAAAAATAATAAGAAGACTGTATCATATTTTTAGTATGATGTAGATTGTGGTTAAATAGCGTTGTATAATTTTCCCTATGACACGGTGATTAGAAACCATTTCCTTTTGATGGACCATTTTGAAGAATCACAGTTACATTTCCTGAAGAAGCTTTGCCTAGGGAGTCTGTGTCCGTTGCTCAACTCTGCATCTTTTCCTTCTTAGTCTTTTAAAGAGCTAGCATAAAGCGTCTTTGAGCTATTCTGCCAACAATGTGCAGTTGGCATGTGACAATCCTGATTTCTCCAGATTTTACTGTATGATATAGTGAAACATTGAAACTGTTTTAGCTGCTTGTGCTCTCTGTCTGCAGTTGTTCTGTAATTTAAACTAAGCATGTGAAGTTATACAATTATCTAATCCAGGCAGGGGTCTGTGATACAGTAGATGGTACGTTTCCATTTGCTTATGTATGTTACGTTGTTTTGGAATGCAATATTGGCTAATTACTGAGGCCACATGAAGTCCTCTGCTAAATCATCAGTGTACCAGTGTTCATGGATAGCAGGATGGAGTTTTTGTGCGAGTAGTGTAAAATAGGATTTTTTATCTTTACCAGAATCAATTACAGCTAACAGCTGATGCTTGAATGTAGCCTTTACTCTTTTCTGAAGGCAAAATACTCTTTCATTTTAATCTTCATTGCTAAAAAGCCCACCAAACCAACCTGTGTAAATCTGTTCAAATGGGAAGAGTTGTTTTCATTGGAAAATGTTGATATCTGCAGGTTTTGATGGCATTTTACAGCTTGTAGTTAATTAGCATTTATAAAATGTAAAAATGGTACTTGTGTTTAAGAATCAACTTTCAACCATGGCAAGATACTTTAGGAGAGGAGAGAGTAAGTGTATAAATTTATCTTTGTGTGGTTTTTGATTTGTTTTGGTTTTAGGAAAAATAAATTGAGATGTCTCAAGGAGAACACTTTTTTTGTGGTGTAGAAATAAATATTTCTTTGTGAAGCATGTCACCATATTTCTGAAGTACTAATGAGCTTAGTTTCCTGCAAAATTCATTGTGACTGTGTATGAAGTTGTGATTAACACAGGGAGACCCTCATAACTTAAAACTAGCTATAGCTTAATCTTTAAGTAAAATGCGGAATAATATTCAAGTGGATTTTATGCCTTCTCTCTTTTTTTTTTTTTTCAATAGGGAAAACAAGTCACTTCTCAAAAGTCAAGAAGTAAGTATTTCAGTATTTGTGGAGGTTTCTGTTTTGCCTTATTTTCTGGGTGCTTAAAAATGTACTGCTGTTCTCATCTGATCAAGTGTGCTACTGTATTTTAATTTGTCTAAAAATGATGTAGAAAAACGTTAATGGAAATAAAGGGTTTGTTAATACATGTACATAACGAGTTCTAAAATAACATCTGCCTATTTATTCAGCTGCTGGAGTAACTAGCTAAATAAAGAGAAGTATTTCTCTCTTAATTTTTCTTTTCTCCCCCCTTGATCAGGTAGACTGAAAAATCCATTTGTCAAGGTGGAAGATAGAAGTCGGTAAGTGTTCTCTTCATGCATTCAGTAATGTGGTTCTCAAATTGAGTAATTCAGAAACATTTAGTATGCCTTGAGGAAGTGGCCTTCAGATTTCAATTTCCTTCAACTTCCTGGCTTCAGATGCCAGGCATACTGTCCTCTTATAATACCAAACTTTCATCTCTGCATTCTCTGGGTAGGTATGTATGTATCTGTGTTTAGCCACTGAATGAGATTGAACAAGTAGTTGTGTAGTAGGGAATATTTGCAATAGGTAATGGAAGTGGAAAGTTAATATTGTAGCTCTAGTTTGTATATCATGAGTGGGTTCTTTGGGTTACTTTCTGCCAAGGGCCATATGAAACCAGGAAACTTTGAACCTTGACATCTTTTTGTGGATCCAAATCCTGTAGCCCAAAAGCCCAATAAAACTTTGTATACCAAATTCCAGTCCTGAATTCCCAACTCAGTAACATTCATCTCCTGCAGAGACTGTTTAGATGTAAGGAAAAGGAAGTTGTTAGAGTTAAAATGTTCCTTCAAAATTAGGTTTCATTTCCTGTTCAATCATTTACTTTTAAAAGGAAAAAAAACACTGTTAATCTGACTTCAATATTCCTAGTAGCATGAAATCTGATACTTACTTTTAGCCTGTAAAATTTTCACATCTTTCTGGTCCTGTAATTGATTAGACCTGGTTGTGTAAGGAGATACCAGTTTGCCAGAAGTTGAGAGAGCAACGAATTACAAAAAAAATGCAGTTCTGCACCGCGTGTTTTGTGCCTTTAAATTAATTCTTAACTAACCAAGGTTTTATAATGATGTTTATAAACTCAAATTTTTGACCTGATTTCTTTGACACTTTCCTGAATTAAAAAAAGAGATCTAAACCTGGTCTTACACCAACTCCCAGTGTAATAGGTACTGGGGACAGGATAGGGGGGAGAATTGGACAAATACAGTTGTAAGTACAAGAAATTTGTATATAAATATGTATGACTTTGACTTCCTAATGTAGGTGGGTACTAAACACCTGAAACATTTTAAAATGTCTATGTAACGTAGTTTTTTACTGCTTAAATGTTTATGCAACATACATAACAGTTTGGAAACAGAACAAGATGCTTAGCTGTCCCTATTATGTTCTCCAGACTTGCTCTTTTTTCTTCTGCCTGGGTAGCTTGTAATAGTAATGTGGGGAAAAAAATCAGACTGAACTCTGGCATCAGCATTTCAGTCAAATGATTCAGTATGTGAACTTTTGTCATGCCCTATTTTAAACATTTTTAATATACTCAGAGCACTGGTACAGTTGCTAGTTCTGATATCTCTCAAGTACAATGGTATGCAGGAAAAATTATTTCTGGAAAGTGAAAAGGTCAGGTTTTATATTTTGAATGGTGAATTGATTAAAATTGTCAAAAAGGAGGAAAATGTTTAAAAAAATGCATTAGATGTTAGGAACTTCTGTAGCTACTTCTCAGGAACACAGATGCACCATCATCCAAATTGTTCTTAGTTTTATTGGTTACCCAACTCTCAACAATAAATAGGCATGGAAGCCATACCCCAGGGAGTAAGATAGAAGGAAAATCATTTTGGAGAAAAGTATCAAGTTTATGGGAAGAAAGGATGGAATGACTTATTCTAGGATGTGTCTGTTTAGCATTCTGTGTATGTTATATGTAAAAAATATATCTATAAGAAACACTTTTTTCAAGATTTGTAGTATAAACCTTTTCCATTTCTGATGGTTCTAATCACTTGTTTTGTCTTATGCAGCCACTACCGACCCTTTTATCTGCAGCTACCTGCTTTTCCAGTTCTGAACTACTGTGTTCCAAAACCATATAGTCCATTTGAGGTGGATAAGAAGCATCCTTCTGGTCAAAAGCAAACTCAGTCTAAGCAAAGGTTTGTTGAAAACTTGTTACTGAGGTGTGGATAGAGAAGAGACAGTTCTCTAAAATAATTGTAAAGTAATTGTTTTTTAAAATAATTGCTCTGCTTCTAATTGTGTGTGGTATTTAATACTAATAGCTGTGTCTTAGCTGATGCATTTGCTGCACTGTTGCTGTAACTGTTGGTGTCTGTCTATCTTCCTGTACCCTCTTTATCCTGTCTTCAGTCCTTTTTTTGGACATGCAGATGCATACATCCAAAAATGCAGCCTTCTCCTATCACTGTGGGTCGGCATAAGGTATTTTTTTCCTTTCTGCCACTGGTTTCTTCTTTGTCCTCATCTGGGATGCCATCCAGTAAGTATTTTACAGGAAGTGGATCTCTTAAGACTTCTTTTGGTATTTCTCAGTATAATGCTAAAGTAGGCAGTTAAAATTTTTTAAAACGGTGATATTCAATCACAGTGCAAAATCGTTGATAAAGAGTGCACATTGTTGATGAAGTCTAATTTATAGAAACTAGACTCTGCAAATACTGGTTCAGCTTTTCAGAGATGAAAAGTGGATGCCAGCTGCACAGCAGAATTGCAGTTGGTCTTACAGCAAGTGTTTATATGATACGTTTTGGCATTTGAGCTCTATTTGAGCACTCCAGATGCAGTTAGAACGTTTGGTAAATCAATTTCATGATTTGAAACTACTCAAGTCTTAATTATGTGAGTTTTGGTGAATGAAACTATTGTTTTGAATTTCTTCTACCTAGCATATCTGGAGTATTAATGATTCTTTCACTGATTTCTAAAATTGATTCACTTGAGAGACTGAAGATATTTAGGTGAAATGTAGCTTTGCTATATGTGGAACTTTTTCTGGTAACTTTTGCTGTTGTTCTGTCCCAGGTGTCTATGATTTATTTAGGTGTGATAGTTGTTTTCTTTATAAAACAGCTTCTTCACTTTCCAGGTTCGGTTCATTCTTAGTGCTGGAGGTTTTCAGCTGATGTTGCCATAATTAAAAAAAAAAAAAAAATTTGTAGGGTTTTTTTAAAATTCTAATTAATATAGCAATATGAGAAAGCAAAGCAACTATAATACAGTAGTAACTCTTGCAATAATAAGGCAGTTTTCTACTGGTATCTCTTCAGATGTGGTTAGAAAGGCTTATTCCTTTTAAAGCATAAAAAAAATTAAAAGGCAATATTATTTTCATATATGTGGATTAAGGAATATGATATATTAAAAATTTCAGGAGTTATGTTTAAATGAATATTCATATTTAATATTTCAGGTTGGCACATACCAAAGAGATATTTAGGTGGGAGATTATTTCGTATTCAGCAGCTAAATGTTAGGAATGTCAGTTCCAGGAGAGAGCAAGGGCAGTGCTCACTTGTATTATCTTTAGCTGGGATAAGAGCCTTTTGAAGTGAAGTTGATAATTCTACATGCACATGCATTGGGCAAGACCTGCAGACATTATTTAGTCTTCAGATGATAAATTCTGTTGCTGATAACCTGCTTATTGGTTCTCTGATTTTCACATTTCTAAAGAGGGAAAGTGAAAAGGCTAGTGGAGTAGTAGAAGTACAGTTAAGTGGAGCCTGTCCTGTGGAACCCAGCAGATGCTGGGGCAGGTGTTACTGATTTGGACTTGTTGATTGAAAGCAATTGTTGAAAGCAGTGTGCTCCTGCTATGCTTTGTAAGTTCGATTTTTTTCAGGACAAGTTTTTGGATGTAAAGTCCTGAGTTTACCTCTATGCAAATACCTGGTAGAGTCTGTCAGCATGACTTTTGGCTAGACAGGGAGATGGCACTATTCCTCTAAAGTAAAAGGGAAGGAGAGATGAATGGTAAACCATTCATCATGTAAAGCTAAAGCTTTACTGCTAGCATATCATCCTGATGTGGTTTAATAGTGAATTGCTGTGAACAGTAGCTCTCCCCAGATGAGGACTCTGAAGGTCACAGAGCAGCTGTTGTAAACTTCTTTGTGTTTTAATCTCCACAAAGAATTTCAGGTTCATTTCCTCATATTTCCACTTAGCCTCTACCTAGAAAAACAGGACAAAATGGCATTTGATCAGCATATTCAAAACCTACATATAACTAACAAATATGACTGTTCTTAAGTTTTTCCAAAGAATGAGACGTCATCTGTTAGAACAAATGTTTTTGCTGCATCAGAAAGTTTTTTCTTGGCATTAAAAATACTGACAATCGATGGGATGTTAAAGACTTGCTTCTCTTTCTAGTGTTGATTTTATCAAACCTTTTATTTTACCAGCTCTGCATAGAGATTTCAGTACGTCCTTTGATTTGTCAAGTGAGATATTTTCCGTTTAGCACTCTTGCATTGTTTATTTCAAGTCAGTGATAGTAGTATATCTGTACTAACTTGAATGTTTTATGGTTACATATAGTTCCACTAGGTCTTCCTGTTGTCTTGCAGTAAATCTTTTTTTTAATTAATGCATAATCTTTCTCTTTGTTTTTCCGAAGCATTGACTAACATAATGTAAATTGCTTGAGGGGAAATAAAGTGTTGTTTTATTTTTTTAAGTGAATAAGAATGAACATATTGTGAGAGGCAAGTATAGAGCTCAGGTCCATATTTGACACTTACTAATATATCTTTTCTGTTAATAGAAAAATAAATAGTGACAAGGACTGTGGAACTCCTGTTCAACTCCCTCAGAAGGACAAAAAAAAGAGAGGATACTGTGAATGTTGTGGGAAGAAATATGAAGATCTGCAAACAGTATGTGAAATGTCAAGTATATGCTTTGATACAGTTATATCTCTTAAGTGTGGTATCAACAGTGGTTTCTACTTGTGCGTTTAGTGTATTTTTTTATCTTAAAATATTTGCTGAATATATGTCCTAAAAAGCAGCAAGTGGGTGGTTTTTTTCCCATGTAGGTTTTAATTCTTGGTTGCTGCTTCTATGTATGGTAACTGAAGGTGCTAGTAGTTCATGTCTCAGACACACTGGTAATAAATTAATATTTACTTACTGCTCCATATCATAGTGTTGACTTGTATATTCATATCTGTTGTAATAGATTTGTTTCATGTTTTTTCTTTAATTCCAGCATCTTGAAAGTGAACAGCACCAAAATTTTGCACAAAGCACACAGTATCAAGTTGTTGATGATATAATCTCAAAGTTTGTTTATGAGTTTGTTGAGTACAAAGATGATGCAAAAAAAATAAAATGGTAAGTTACCCGTTCTACGTTTTAAAGACTGTGAGTTAAGACATTGAACATAAAGATGCTTTGTTCTGAAATTCTGGATCTGGTACAGAATAAATTCATATTTTTTTCAGTCTGAAATAATTTACTGAAATTTGCAGTGCAATTGTGCCCGACAAATAATTTCTATAGAGCAGAAATTATTAAAAAAAGCTAAATAAAAACATTAAAAGTGCAAATGGCATCACAGGCAAATGAGACTGAAAGGAATTGCCCAAAGTTACCCTACATATCCTTCAGCTTCAGAAAAGCAACATCTACTGTACTTTAGTATTGCTGACAGAAGGACAGCAATGTCTGGACATCTTGCTCTAAAAACTTTCTGTCATTCTTAGTAGCTTAAGAACAGCAAATTATATCCTCCTCAGTCAATCTGATCTCTTTACCAGTGGAGGAACTTTTCCTAGTCTAATCTAAATCTTCCTACCTATACTCTAAGTCTCATAGATTCTGTCCTGCCTGTGCTGGACAAAGAAAGCAGACTTTACTTTCTTCTTTTTAGCTCATAAGTAAATGGGCAAGAAAGACTTGTTTCATGTCTCGGGCTGTAGGCACCAGTGTCTTTGTTACTTGGAACAGTAACTCAATTCAAGATTACTCTGATTTTTTGCAAATGAGTCGGGAGATAAGGAATAACTTTCTCATTTATTTAAAAAAAAAAATACTGAAGAAATAAAGATATTCTTAGTGAAATCAAAGGAAATGCAAATGGAGTCAAGCAACTCCTAATGAAGACAAGCCTTTATTCCTTTTGTGATTTAAAAATACTCAGAGTGGCTAGGTTTTTGAAACATGATTTTCTTGACATACTATATAATTATGCTAATTTGTGGGTATATATCGTAAAACATTTGTAAGTATTTATAGTCATTGCATTATATTCATTGACTTCTTTTGTTCTTAATAACATCATGAATTGAGATTTACTGAAATACTCTTTACTTTGTGTATTTTTAAAACAATGTTATGAGCTGTAGAAATCAATAAGAAAACATCAAATTCAAATAGAAAACACTGTTCCTGTAGAAATCGTGTGCTGCTACCCTAAATATATTTTTCCTTTAAAAATAAAAACAAAAATTGCTTTGTCAGTTTGGTTGCTTCTCTAGAATTGGCTGCATATGGCATTATGTTACCCATGTTTGTTTCAAGTGTTTGTTAATAATTTTAAACAATTTCATTGTAGGACAAAATGTAGTACAGGATATTTTTCTCCTATTATTGGAAAGATAACTAGACCAGATGAGTTGAAAGAACGACTGAAAAAGCAACGCCTTTCATTGAAAAGCTACTCGTGGAAGGATACGGCAATGCGGGCACTTAAACTGGATCGCCAGCCCGCAGAAGTACAACCAAATTCTGTGCCAATACCTCGCGCTATTTCTGGATCTGTTTGTTCAGTTCTTTATTGTCACCTGTCGCAACCTTCAGAACTAAAAAGTAAGTTCAGAAATAATGATGAAAATATTAAAACAGAGTGTTCCTGTGCTGTAAACTTAAGAGAAACTGTTGTATCATCAAATTTCATAAAACCACTCCCTCAGAAAGATGACAGAGCATACACAGAGAACTTGTCTCAAGCCTATCAGTCATTCAGTAAAGAAATACTGGAACCAGAAGTAGATAAAAGGAATTTACAGTGTGCTCAGGAAGGCATGTGTACTTTATATTCTCATACTCAAGGTATAGATTTTAGTGAAAAAGACAGAAACCTCTCACAGCCAAAGCGAAAATTAAATAATGCAGTAGTTCTACCAGCAAAGTGTTTGAAAAAAACAGATGCCAATCCTACATTTGTCAAGAAACATCATGATTTATGTGATAATCATCAACTGATACAGCACAACATAGTTCTGGAGGCCGAGGTATCTGATACTGCTATAAACAAAGAACTTAATGAATTGGCTGCCAGCACAGCACACAGTTCACCGTCTGGAAAGCTGCATAGAAAAGTGAAGCTTTATTTGGGAAGAAATAAAAGAGAAAACTGGAAACAGAACACAGAGTTATGCATAAAGTATACAGATAGACTGTCTGTTCCTGAAGAGAAGAGAAGTGCTTGTAGCTCACCAGCACAGGCCCTACTGGAATTATTTCAGACAAGCGAAAGAAACTCAGAATTTGGAGGTTTTTCAAGTTACACTGAGAACAAAGGTTCAACTAGCATAAAAGATATATGGGAAGGGCAGAATACAAATGTTACGTGGTCTTTATTTTCTTCTTCATCCTCATCCCCATTTGTTGGATTTTAATGCTGCTTTATTTAATACAATGATTTTCAAATAAACTTGCAAATTTAAGATTTTATTCATGGAGTCTTTAGTAGCTGTATTATATGTACAGATGGTTTGGTTTTCAACTTTTTTAATGCAAAAGCTTTGTATATGTAAAGATGAAAAATAAAACTGAGCTGCTTTTTGTTTGTTTGTTTGCGTTTCTGAAAAGGTACTGCTTTATCACAGTTAGTAAAAGGCTCTGACCCCAGATTCCGGGTTAAATTAATTGCTAGGTAAAGCCAATAAGCATGATGTAGCTGCCTTTAGATAGAATAATTTCATAAAATCACTGATTATGGTACGTTCTAAATAACCACATTGTAAATAACTGGATCTTTGCTTGTAGATAAGGCAGTCCGTTACTTAGGGACTACTGATGTTTTGTGGAGAGTTGGTTGCTTCCCTTCCTATTCCTTCTGGTGCTGCTTTATTAGAGAACACAAAAAGTAATTTACTTATATTTCTTCCGCTGAAATTGTTTTATGGAACCTATGTAATCATAACAAAACAGGATTAGGAAAGCAGGTGTTACGTTGTTTGGCTACTCCAGCAGAATTTATTTTTAGACTAGAACTAGCTGTATTTGTATTTCAGCCAATAGGAAAGCAGTAGATGTATACTTGAATTTCTCTTTTAAAAAAACTAAACAACAGTGGGATAGCAATGGTAACAACCAAACAGCCAATAGGTTTCTGATTGACTCAGGTCATTTGATTTTTCTTTCAGGGTAGCCAGCCTGTCTGACTTGCTTACTCAGAGGCAGAGTGAAAGACCCAAGTGAGAACTGGGAAGACTTTTAATACTTTGAATGTTTACTAGAGCTGATCTCTTTCAGAATTTGTAAATTAGTGCAGGGCATGAGTATGGAGTTACAAGAGGTAATTGCAAAGCTTTATTAGTAAGTGCCTTAAGATCATACAAAAGATCTATACCAGCAGAAATTATTAAATTTTGCATAAATTACTTGTTTGCATTTTTATCTCTCACCCATTTGATAGACTTTGTCAGTGTTCTTAAGATTAAAGTGATTTCAGTCATTGCAGACTTGCTGTCCTTTATAGAATATTTTATGACCGATAGGTAAAGTTTCTTGGTGTGCAGGAGTGGGTGAGGAAAATGAAATAAAATTGCTTTCCTTTAAAGAGCATTTGAATTGGAAGCTTAATGATGAATGTACCTGCTTAAGGTGCTGCTGTCACCTTAAAGGTGGCATTCCTTATTCTGCTATTCACATAATTGCCTGTACAGTCTGGTGAGAATTGCTTTTGGTTTCTCCATCTTATTGGTCACTTCTGGCTTGATTTATAGTTTCTTCTGATCTGGATTCACATCGAGAAAATTGTATAGAAAGCCATTACAGAAATGAGCAAAATGAATGTTTTAAAAATGAGTTGATTTTGAATGTGTATGTCTATATTACATATTCTGCCTGTAATTTACCAATATATAGTGTTTCAGAAATGGGGCTTTAACATAGAACATTGAAGCAATTACTTTGTTCTTCATTTTGAGTGACGCTTTAATGATAGAAAGATTGTGCTCTGATTCAATGAATACAATCTATTTGAGGAACAAGTGTTTGTCCATTTTTCTTCTTGAGAATGTTTTTTGTTAGTTTTTTTTTGTTGTGGTTGTTTTTGTTTTTGTTTGTTTGTTAGTGTTTTTTTAGCTTTTGGTTCAGTACTAAAGAAGCCTTAAGAAAAACTTGCAATTTTTCACCTAGCACATTGCAACACTCTGTCAGTAGGCATCTTGCAGTCATCTCTCTCCTCCCATCCCCAAGACACATCAAGACATTCTCAGTCGATGTGGTGGCCTCTGTCTGACTGGAATGTATATACGTGGTTATATACCATAAAGATTAATGCAATAGTTGAGGGGAGAGGTGGTCAGTGTTAGTAAATCTACTCACCAGATAACCAATGTGTATCTTTTGCATATCATTAGATGCAATATTATAACACATCAGCTCAACAGGCAGTGCTAAGAGGAGATTTAAGCACACTGGAATCTCTTAAGAAAATTCAGAGGTTTGTCACTAAAATATGAAGACATTGTAATGCAGAACAAGATAGGAGAGTCACTGCTACTAGTTGCAAAAAGCACTTCTAGTCATGATGCAGATTTTGGTTACAGGTGACAAGTCACGTTGGTGCATGCTGAGCGTCTGCTTTGTATGTAGTATGTTCAGATCATGTCACAAAGCCACAGCCTGTTAACTTTCTAAAGCAGATTTATTCAGCATGTATGTGATTTCCATACATTTATTATCTTTCAAGCTTGTTTTATTTAAAAAAAAAAAAATCTGTTTTTACATAAATTTTAAGGGAATTCTATTACTATCTGAAAAAACAATTAAAGGTGGAAGGCTAGTTATTAGAACATTTATTTGTGTCTCTGGCTTCCTCCTAGAGAACAGAATGAATATTTTAAAAATATGTGGCAGGGATTCTGAGAAATGTCAAACACTTCAAACACTACGATGTGTGCCTCTCTAGTCACTAGAATAAAAGTTCAGCATTTTATCTTTAAGTACATCTCTGATAATTACATATTATATAATTACAGTTTGAACTCCATAGGTACACGAATAACTTCTAATGCACTTCATTTTTTGATTGTCTTGCTTTCTGTGAATTTGAGAGTCTGGTGTAGGAAATTTTTATATTCTATTCAAAAACAGTTATTAATATACTAAATTGCTTCCTTTTTGTGGTGGTTAGGGAAACTTGGAGCTATATTCCCATGCTCTGCAGCATACGTTTATACACTGTGGGAGTCCAGATTTTAATGAAGCACTCAAATCTTGACTGTTAGAAAAAAGTGAAAGCTTTAACCCTCATGTAGAAGAGACACTACTTCGTTTTAAAGTTGAAGAAAATCCCCCAGACTTTTACGTTATAAAAGTACTCTTATTTAAATGAATAGCCTGTGGTCCGGTGATCTTCATTGTTTCATGGGTATGGCAAGCATGTTTCTGCAATTGTGAAATATCATAAACTTTAGAACGTTAAAGTTTTATGTGTGTATGCACACACCCATACCATTACGGAAAGCCTGTGCAGACACTACACTGGTTTGGTACTTCCGTGTAAGGGAGAGTTGTAACTGATTTGTTCAGACTCACTTTGTTTCATTGCCATGGGAGAGACCAGAATGATTTTCAGTAAAGACTTTTAACATGGAAACTAGCTATACAATACAAATTTGGGCTGATGGTAACAACATCAAAAGAAATACAGGTGTTGAAACCTGCTTTTAGAAATAAAGCATTAGAAATAGTGCCGTTTTGTTCCAGTTACACCTACACCGAGTTGGGTTTGGTATCTTTGCAGTGGATGCATATGACTTTGCTCCATGGTATGTGTTTATCCGACCAGAAATGTTTCTCTTCAGGTAAATTTATAGCGTGGCTGAGAGGATAGAGTTACCAAGGGTCAGGAATGTGTGTGCGCATATGCGTATGGGTGTACATACAGATACTCACATGGGTGTATGGTGATAGTGGGGATTAGCGGCTCCAAAACCACACACGTGGAAGGAAGTTCAGCAATAATTTTGCAGTTTCGTGCACTCAGGTAAGCCCTATGCTCAGCAGCAGGATCTTCAAGCAGTCATCTCTCTTGCCCAACATCCGACTACGGAACACTTGACACAAAGCGATAGGTAGGTGCCTGAAAAGCCGGCCTTCCCCTTTGGGGTTGGGGGAAAGGTAGTTACAACCTGAGGAGCACCGCGCTTGTTGAGGTCTGTTCTGTCCTTTGGGGTTGCCAACGTGCGTTGAGGTGATTGAATCCATGTTCTGCCTCAAGCTTGCAAGAAAAGGGCACACATCAGTTATCCATTCATGCTATCGTTGCTCCGTGTTCTCTTCTGGCCTGTATGACTGCACAGCACGTGCCTCCTTAGGTACACGTGGTGATGTATCTGTGCCTTCATCCTGCATTCTGAAGAGCCTCAGCTTTGAAGGACTCGGCTAATGTAACTAGTGATGGTATCTATGAAGCTCTTGTGGCAGTCGCCGAGTGCAGGGATGATGAAAAAACGGTAGCTGCTCTAACTGATGTAGTTATCGTGGGGCATGTGGACATGGGATGAAACTATGAATCCCCCTGTGCTCCCCAGTTGGAGAATCTTTGTGAACTGTATGGTCTATGTGAGCTATACACTTCATGTGACCTCTGGGCTGTTGGCTTATAAGCACCAAAGGCTGTCTGGGCTGTGCTTTTCGATCATCTTGTTAGTTGGTACCACAGTAGCATCAAGTCACAGTCTATCTTGGTCTTACACCGAGTCTACCCAAAGGTGGAAATCATTTCCTTGCCCTAGTTTCATTCTGTAGATGTGCCATGTGTAAGATTTTTAAGACATGCCATTAGATTATATTAAGAATTATGGGAAATTTCTGAAGTAGCGACATGCAAAATAATACTGCAAATAAATGTGAACAAATTTTTGTATCCTTTTTGGGTGACTAAATAGTTTGCATGCTACCTGCATCATGGCAAGAGATGGAGTCCCTTTTATCCCTCTCTTTTTTTTTCTATTGTGTTTCATCTCATGAAAATATTTTTCTGAAAAATAAGCTATTTTCTGTCAAGTGCTTACTGCCACTCAAATTTAGGTGTAACCTCTATATGCCTCTAATCCACACTCTTAAAGACAAATGAGGGGAAATTTCAGCAGCCAATTGATCCAGAGGAATTGTACAGTTTATTTACACAGAATGTATGTAGGTGGATTAGAAATTGAATGCCAAAATTTATTTCTTAGCATAACTGGTCCTCTGGACCATTTAAGGAGATTGTTTGTGCTATCAAATGCAGGCATAAGTAAAGGCAAATACAGTTGGTAATACCAACCAGTAACAATGTCACCACTGATACCTGTAGCAGAGTGAAGGTAAGTGTGAACTGCGTTCATTAACCAGAATGACATCTCTGAAAGTGGTATGAGATGAATATTTTGGGTTTTTACCATGCATTCTGTAAATACTACTTTTTGGCTTCTGATATTCAATAGTGTATTCACTTTAGAGAATGTAGCTACCCAAAATAAATGCTGAGCATCCCAGATATAGCACCATAAAAAGATTTGGGAAGAGTCCAATTTCACTTGGGATAAAGCAGCTGTAGGTTCAGGTG